ATTTAAAAAAAAAACATTCGACCGAAAAAAAACACAAATAATTTATACTTTATAAACAAAGTTAAAATTGTAAAGTTAATTAATTACTTTTATTAAAATAGGTAAAACTATTTAAACATTTTCTAATCTACAAATCTACCTACTTTTTCATATATAGTTAAAACTATAAAAAAAAAATAGTTTGATTTAACATTTCTATTTGCATCAGCAATTAGTGTAAGAGACCTATTCACACAAACTAGCATCCTTCTGAACTTGAGCATGAAAAATCCATATATACACACACAAAAAGTACCATCCTTTCTGAGCTTGTGCATGGATGTACATCAGAATGGTGATACATGAATATGACATTAGAAGCTTCAGTTGCCAATGAACGTTCAAACTATCCAGCATAAGATTTGGGGAAATCCAGTTTGCCATTTGGATCGCAATTTTCTAAATCTACAATCGATCCATGTAACTTTCAGGGGGGAAAAAATGACCCCTAATCCTTTACTCTTTCAAATGGCACACAACTACGGGTGTGAAAAGAAAAAAATTCTGTCTCGGCTGCAAAGTGCTTCCTAGATTAAAGGTTCGTTTTAACCTCAAGTCACAAACTACTGAGTAAGAGGGACACATTCGAGCTCAATCTCTAGCACCCCCCTCTCAACATTCTGCAGTCTAAGACTGATTTCTTGTTTTACTTTTCCATCAACTAGGGTGATTATACCATCTTTTGCTAAGGTGTTGTCTATGCTTGCCACCCACTTCCCCAGCTGCATCGACTCGTTGATTGTTGAGCTCTCATAGGCTTTTGCAGCACTTACAAGCGGTTGAATGTCAATCTCGGCCTCCCCCATAAAGTCATCTGTCGAGAATGTATCCTTATCGTATACAAGCTGCATAACCATTCAGACAAAGTCTTAGTAAGATTAACTCAACAACAAGTCTAGAATTCAGTGTTACAATTGTTACGAAGGTATTAGAATCGACTGTTTGGAGTATTCAGAGTCTCCTAGATGGGAAAAGCCACGTGATGACTATTCGAACACTTCCTAGGCCTCTCCCTTGTATAAATCCATTGTTACCTTCCAAGCAATACTTTCCTTCCAGAAACTGAAACTCACCACTTTTAAAGGAGGGATGTGATCTGGGATTGATAACATTAGACTTTCATTCCAGACTGGATTTAGGTTGTTTTTTATGACACGCGTCTTCACTGACTGCAAAACGAAATTATAAAGAAGTACATCACTGACCAAAATGAAACTACATCTTGTTAACATGTTTAAGTTGAACATTATATTACTGTCAAGAGGTCCTTAAGGAGGAGAGAAGCTCACTTGGTGACCCAATGCAAGAATGACATACGGATCACTGCTCATCACATCTCGGACAGCCAGGTTGGTGCCTTTCACTACATTGACCTTTATCAGCCCAACGAATTCAACCATACCTGCCTATAAATAGTATATTCCAATACCAAGATTCAGCATACATATCATAGTGAGAACACATATGGCACATTTTTATATTTTTCCTTGCATGGTAACAACATTTCTATATTTGCTATCTAGTTAACACCTTGTTCCATTGCCTTTTAACTTGTACTATATGCAATAAAAGGTATTCAATTTACAGCCTACTTATACTGCATTTAAATAATGATTAATAATTGGCAACCTAACAATTATTCAAGGATTAA